TTCTACACTGGAAGGACAACCAGAGCACAACCATTTAAGTCACAAGCTGTGACAGGCAGCAGCGTGAAAAGGCAATGCAGTCAGCCCCCTCTCCCCACCCCTCCCCCTGCACAGAAAGCATGTGCTCTGCTGGTTTTCTAATAACGGGACACAGTTGGCTACAAACCCTGGAGGAAAAAAAGACTTGACCTTAAATCCCAGCTCCTCCACTTAAAAGCAGCGTGACCTTAGATAACCTGCCTAACCTCCCTGTGCCTCAGTTTCCCCATCTGTTAACTGGAGATACCATTGTCTGTCTGCTAGAACTCTTGTGAGGGTCAGTGAAGTTATTCGCCGAGGCCCACAGTACAGTGCCCAGCACAAGCTCATTATATGTTAGCCCTTTGCCCCCAAAGATTTCTACCAGGCCACCCCAACCCAAACCCTTGCAGGGAGCCAGGACAGCACCTGCTGGATGTCTAGCTGCGTTACCAATGCGGTCTGTGGCCATGCATGAAGCAAAGCCAACTGACCCATAAAGGGTTCAATCCCATGATCCTGATCTCAATAGCACGGCTCCAACCAACTGAGCTAATTACGGTACAGTTGGATTCAACTCAGCTTGCACGGAGACACTCTTAGCTGTTCATACAACATTCTTAAACAGTTTTGTCCTAAGATGCTATGTGACACAACACACTTGCCAACTTTACTAATGACCTCATCTTTAAAAAATCTTAATGTAATGTAGCAAACAGATGTGTCCCTTAAGAGGATTAAGGTGGAAATTCATTAGAGCAATAATACCAGTGGATTTGTGTTCTAAAACTAACGCCCATCAATCAACTTAGTGCACACTCCATCTCAGCACTGCTCAGCTTCCAGGAGAACTCTGGAGAACTGGACAGCCCAGGTCTTTACCCTCGAGGAAGTTATCTGTGAACAGGGGAGACAGAGAGAACCCTCCTAGCCCTGTACTGAGTCTGACCTAAATGACCTCTAATCCATGCTGCTCAGACTGCAGTGTGTACAGGAATCACCAAGGCATCTCGGGGAAATGCACATTCTGCTCCAGCAGGTCTGGGGAGGCCTGAGAGTGCATTTCTAAGAGCCCAGGTGATGCCCAGCCCACACTGAGAGGACCAAGGTTCTAATCCTCCCAGCAACTGGCTATCTGACAGGTGGGATAGCTGAGGCAGCAAGGGAACCACAAAGACAAAGGTAGTGAGAAAGGAATGAACAGGGCACAGTCAAGGCTAATCCAATGAGAGCATGGAACTCTGAAACGTGGGCAGGCTGCCTGGAAGGAAAAAACTCAAGACACAAAAGTAGTAGAGTCATTAAGGACTCAGACCTGGTGCCAAATGCCAGCTCTGGAATGTCCCACTCGCATGGCCCACCGACTTTTTTGTGCTTTGGGCTCTTCTGCTGTGAGATGCAACAGTACCAGCGCCCGACCCACGGGGTGGCCGCGGGCTCGGCAAGATGATGCGTGTCTGGGACGGTGCTTGGCTCGGGCACGTGGCTGGGACCTGGGAACTGTTATTATTCTACTCTCTGGTCCGCAGCAGCCACGGAAACATTCCCTGAATTAAATTACTAGGTCATAATTGCTGTTTTGACACGCAAGCTAGTTACCAGTTTTTTGGTACCACCACAATTCCAGTTTTGCCTATCAAAAAGAAGCAAGAATCCTTAGAGCCTTCACTTTGGTGTCAAACAATCCAAAGACATCTAAGCTTTGAAAGGTCTAGGATTCTATTAATTCTACTGCACAGTTTTTTCTAAATTATAAGTCCTGTAATTACAATTATTTTTCTTCTTAAGACACTGAACCAGAAATAAACACCTGTTTATGCAGCATTTGAAAACAAAAGGCCTCACATAGCCCAGATAAAACATACAACCACCAAAATAAACATCTCCCTCAGTGAGAATACGGTACCCGTTCTGACCTTTTTGTTACCAGACTAATCATTTATTTAATTATTCTCTTAGAACTACTATAAAAAGCTGGGGTGGTTTTTTATTTTTCAGTCTAGCAGCTTGGGGAAAAAATGATAAAGCATTATAAGCACATGTTGTTTTCGTCCAAGACAATGGTTTAAATGAACAACTAACTTCAAATGGAGTCAGCAAACATGAGATAAGTGTATACATATTTCATTAGCTTAGGAAAAGGTGCATAGACTCAAGTTTGGGCTGGAAAGGACCTAAGAGGTTAACCAGTTCAAAGGTTCCCAGCACAGGAGAATCTCTAGGGGAACTTTACAAATTAAGACCCTCTGCAGGGGACTTTTAGGGGGCTTGTTACACAGGTGTGTTCACTTAGTGAAAATTCATCCAGCCGCTCACTTAGGCCCTGCACGCTTTGCTGGGTGTGCCATCTCCTTCAAGCAAAAGTCTACACCCCCAGGCAGGATGGCTGAGGACGCTGGGAGTGTCTGCATGTTTCACAATCACGCTTCTCCCCTCTCACCACCCAGAACGCCCCCTGCCCCAGGAACGCCTCCTCTTGCCAGGCTGGGCTCCATGGGACATGGAAACCTTATCCATGGCAGGGGCTTGCCCATTCCCTCACTGTTAGCTAATTCACAGCAGGGTTCGTAACTATTTGTTCCCACCTCTGACTGTGAACCCTACCAGGCTGGAATTCTGTCTCAAGGCTCTTACTCATGCTTGTAACACCTGCCCCAGGCCAAAAAGTACCTGGCCTAGGAAGCTGATTCAGGAAACTCCCCAAGTTAATGGAATGGAAGCCCGAGGAGATGCGGCTTCTGCCCACAGCCAAACAGCTGGTCCAGGGAGCAGAACGGCAGTGGAGTCTCAAGCCGCACAGACAAGGTTTGAATCTCAGCTCCCCACTCCTAACAGAGAAACTAGGTTATTTAATTGCTCTCTGCCTCAGTTTCCTCATCTGTAAAATAGGTATAGTAAAAGTCTGCACTTCACAGACGTGTGTAATATTAAATGAGATCCTGCACTGACGTCCCTAATAGAGTACAAACCTACATACCAAGTGCTCAAAACTCATTGGCTCTTTCTATCACAGATGCGTCATCCAACCCAGCAGATTCCCTGCTGGAAATTAACTAGCATTTTACAATATAAATGTGCACCTAGGCACGTAAATGCCCTGAATTCTCCTTTACAGAACGCTGCTAATAGAACTAGCCAATCAGTCGGCTCTAGACGTGAAAAACAATGCCAAACATCTGCAGGCAAAAGACTCAGACTGAGGCTGGCTGGGCCTCCCGCAGGACAAGGAGTGAAGGGTCTCTGTGGGACGTATTTGGGTTCCATTTATTCTACAAGGGCCATCTCAGAAAGTCCTGTGAGCCAGGGCAACTGCTGTGCTGTGGCTTCTAGGGGGTTGGGGGCAGTGGAGGGGGTGGTGTAATGCTGGAGCATCAGGATCTCCTACGAGACCAGGAACACTGGATCAAGGCTATGGGGCTATTCCATGGAAACATAAAAATGTACTTCAGGTTCCAGCTTGAAAGGTCAGCCGGTGTACACAGGGCTTGAAATCCAAGGAAAGTACTTCAAGGTCACAGGGCCACAATTATGAGTCTTCTGTGGTTTCAACAAAAGATCTCTGTAATCAGAGACCATAGTGAATGAAATAACCATGACGCTGAAGAAGCCCTTCGAAAACGCTTAACTGAACCCACTGGCTGAGAAGAACCAAATAACTGACAAAAGTGACTCTGATAAGCTGAGTCCACAATAAAAACATCATTCTCCCAATCCAACCTTTTACGGCCAGAGAGGTTCCCAGGAGCAGTGACTGTATCCATCCTGAACCAGCACAGAGAAAAGGAGACAGAACTGCCCCATTCCTCATTCCTGAAGACAGGTTACTCATTAAGAAGTGGCGTTTGGGAGGCGAGAGGGAAGCAGTGATATAACAGACGCCACTGCCAATGTTCACCAGTACCCACACCAACCTCCCTCTCTATTTCCAAGGCAGGTGAACAGCATACAGAAGTCTAAAAAATTTTTTTAAATCGATTTTGTTCTTTTTGGCATCAAGGGTTATCTCTTCCAAATATTTATCAGTGTTGATCCTCAAGGAATAAATCATCTACAAGCTCTGATATGAACCCTAAGCCAAAAAAAAAATGTACCGGGGAAGTAATTATTCAAGGTGCAGTCACTAAGTGGGAGAAAGGGCTGTCCTGGGTAACTAAATGCTTGGCTTTCAACGCCCAGCTCTTCGCAGCACACACTTTGCAAGATGCCTGCCCTGAAAAGGGTTAAAAAAAAAAAACTATCGGGTGGACTGAGAAGCCATTCTTCCCAGGGGACACTCATTTGGGGCTCTGTGCGCGCGCCGCCCCTCCGCGCCCCCGCCCCTCCTCCCACAGCCACTGCTCCTCCAAGGTCCCCCAGGCCACCTGCTTCTTCTAAGGAAAAGGGGCTGCTCCGAGCACTATCGTAGCGCGCGGGCGGCGCCCTCCGCGGTGCCCCGCAGGGGAGGAAGGAGAGGTGTCCCCGGGAAGCGTGCTTTGTCGCGAGGGTCGCACGGCCGCCCGCAGCGGCCCCAGAGGCCTGAGAGGTTTCGTCCCGCGCGTCGCTCGGGTCTCCTCTGCGAAGGACCAGAGCCCCCCGGGGCCCGGGTTCTTTCCGCGCGCCGCTCGGCGCCCGCCCGGGTGCGGGGACCGACTGCCGGCGTCCGAGCCCCACCCCGCCCACCCGGCCGAGGGAACGGCGCGGCGTGGGGAACCTTCTCCATCCCGCCTCCGACCGGCGCCGCACCTGTTCTGCCCAGTCCGCCGCCCCCCCCCGCCCCCGCTCCGGGCCGGAACGCGGTGCTGTCCTCCTCGCTGGCCTAGGAGAACCTGAGCCAGCCGGCGGGCGCCCGGACCCCTCTGCCTAACGGAGAGGGGGGAGGTCTGCCCTTGGGCGCTTGTCTCTCGGCTGCGCCCAGCCCAGCTTGCCCGTGGCGCCCCTACCCCGGCGCGCCCCGCAGCAGGGGCTGCGTCCCGGGGGCCCAGCCCTCCCGCGCCGGGCCGTACCTTGTGTGGCGCCCGCAGCAGCCGGTGGACCCCGGCCAGCTGGGTACCGAGCGCGAGGTCCTCGCGGAACGTGAACAGCGGCGGCCGGCTGGGCTCGGGGAAGTTGGTGCTGTTGAAAGGGTCCGTATCGTCCAAGAACTGCACACGGCAAGCCAGCGTGGCCATGATGCATCCCTGCCCCGGGGGGGCGCGGGCCCCGGGATCTGCGGGCCGCGGACCGGGACGCCGCGGTCACCGCAAGCAGTGGAGGCCGCGGCCGCAGCTCGCTGGCTCGCGGGCTCACAGGCTCCGGCCGCGGGGGGCGGGGCGGGGGCGGGGCCGGCGGGCCCCCTCCTTCCTCTCGCTCTCTGGCTCCTCCCCTCCGGCGTCCCCCTTGTGCCCGCCCGGCTGCCGCCGAGACCCACGCGACCCGCCGCGTGGAACAGGAAAGGGAGGATGGCTCGTGCAGTATCCGCTGCCCTGCGCCAAGTCCGCTGGCGGCGGCGGCGGGGCGGAGAACCCCCCGACCCCCGGCGGGCAGACCCCAGCAGCGCGGACACCGCCTGGGCCGCCGGCTGCACGTGTGCCCCGAGACCGAGGGAGCCCCGGCCGAGCTGCACCCCTCGGGGCTCGGGGAACCGGGGTATGGGGGCGGGGCGGGGGCATAGCCGTCCCCTGGCTTCTTATCCTTCTGGGAGAGGGCTTAACTCTTTCCAGATGAAGGCGGCGGCGGCCGGGCTCCCGCTGCCTGGACTCGGAAAACCCCAGCTGGGCTCCAGGAGGCGAGGAAGCCGGCCCCCGGCAAGCAAGCGGGGTGGTGGCAGGCACCTGGAGCCCTGGCGAGGGTTCCGGGGGAGGTTTCCCTTGGGGAGAAGGAAACTACAAAGGAGGAGGGTGAACCGGCGAACCCTGGTAGCTGTTCTTAAGAGACAAGCCCGGGGGCGCCAGGCGGGAGGCCTGGGGAGCTGCGAGGCTCCGCTTCGACACCCCAGCGCCAGGCCTGACGCCCTGGTTGACCCTCGGCATGACTGCGGCCTCTTAGCCAGTTAGGTCTCCGAAAGCCCTAAACGGAGCTAGTGGGGCCGCGGGGGGCGCTTCCGGCGAGGTCACCGAATTGCACGAAGCCAGCAGAGAGCTAGGGACCCGCTGGCAACCGAGGGACTTGCAGGGAAGGTTTGCAGCCTGCCCGCCTTGGCCTGCCTGAGCCTCGAGACTCCTGGCTGCTCAAGGGTGACCCCCTTCGTTTCCAATAAGAACTCCCGGTTTTCTCCATTACCAGGCTGTGGCCAAGGCCGCGGTTCTCCCTGTATCTTAAGTAGGTCTTATGGAATATACCCAATCGCTCTCACATCCGCGTCTTCACAAGACGGCTCTAGAACATGTCTCTCTCCTTTTCTTCTGGCTTCAAGGCAAGAAACACTCATCCCATACTTAGCCTCTTCACCCGCACCTTTAACCTTCTCTCTCTATGGAACCTCCCCGTCACTCGTGAGGCTTACGCCTGTTCTTAAAATAACAATGATCCATGACACCTGCTCATTCCAGCAGAACTTCTAGTTCTCCTTGCATTTGCTAATCAACTCTCTGCATGAGTCCTTTAGACGGGCCAGTACACCAACTTCACCATCAGCTCTTCGCCAGAACACTGAACCTGAAAATCCCATTCCTTTGACCCCCACTTCCTACCCTCCCATTTTCACCACCACGTTCGCCCCTCCTCAGTGAGGGAGCCGTCCAGTCTTTCTGGCAGCCCCATTTCTCATCTCTGTCCCAACATGAATGCCACCCCATCAGCTCAGAGGCCTCCTTACTGTACCACTTTCCCGGCCTCACCTGTCGGTCCCTAGGTTGCTCCCTCCCCATCCGCCAAGTGCCTGCTGGCAATAGTCATTCTCAATGACCTATACACCCCAGGTTCCTCAGCACTGCTCAGTGTGGCCTCCCACTCCTCTCAGGCTGCCACACACTTCTGCCACTTTCCTCTACCTACAGATTATTCAGTAAAGAAAATCATGTCTCCAGTGTGAAGTCCTCCCCTTCCAGCACTCCCTCCTCTCCATCTTCCATCTCCAGCCTACACCTCCTCCATCTCAGAAGTTGACCAAAGCCCTGATTTTCCTCTTGCTCAAGGCTCTACCTCCATCTGGACACTGAGTCCCTCTCTTCCCAGTTGCTCTGTCACTGATCTAGCCTCCTTCTTCCTTCCTTCCTGGGCTCCTTCCCCTGAGAATCAGGACTGGCTTCCTGGCATGAAACTTGGGCAGCCACATAGATCCCCGCACTTAGAAGAGCCCCACACTGGTTTCACACTCTGCTGTTGCTGTCTTAAAATTCTTAATGATTTAGGGCTGCCCTGGTGGCGCAGTGGTTGAGAGTCCGCCTGCCGATGCAGGGGACGCGAGTTCGTGCCCCGGTCCGGGAGGATCCCACATGCCGCGGAGCGGCTGGGCCCGTGAGCCATGGGCGCTGAGCCTGCACGTCTGGAGCCTGTGCTCCGCAACGGGAGAGGCCACAACGGTGAGAGGCCCGCGTACCGCAAGAAAAAAAAAAAATTCTTAATGATTTAACAAGAGGACCCGAATTTTCATTGTGCACTGGGATCCACAAGTCATGTAGCTGGTCCTGATGAGAATAAATACTCAAGTGTTTTCCATCTTAAAAGCTACATCTTTATGAAGCTTGCCTCTCAGTAGCTTATCTCTTCTTCACTTCCTGACCAGCTTCTGAACGAAAGAGCTACATTCATTTCTCAGCATCCTCACCACCTCTTTGCTGGTGAGGATGACCATCTCACCACCTGGCGGGCAGCCCTCCCTGCTGTTCTGAGATCATCAATGCCATCCTAATTGCCTTCTCTGGGGAACACCTCAGCTCTGCTACCCACCTTCTCGGCAGCATCTGTCACTATGGACCACTCCTTTCCCAAACTCTGTTCCTCTCAGCTTCATTAGTTCTACCCACTCTGGGTTACCTTCTCCCTCTTTGGCAGCTTCTTCTCAGTCCCTCTGGGCTCTGTTCTCCTCTTAAGAATAGAGCATCACAGCTACAGTTACTGTTAATACATCTCTCTGCTCCCACTAAACTGAAAGCTCCTCTAGGGCAGGGACCATGCGGTATTCAACCCTAAACCACCACCACCCCCCGCCCAGTGCCTGGCAGAGTGCCTAGCACAGAAAAGGACACAATAAATGTCTGATGAATGAGTGAACATCAAAGTCAACTTGCGTCCTGGATCTTGCTGTTGGTCACTATGACCTGTCACTGAATCAGCTTTTGAAATATTTCTCAACTCTCCCCCTGTCTAGCCCTCACTTCCTATGCTAGGCTTCAAATGAGTCTCTCTTCCCCAGTCTTGCAACCTGCATTTGATCTTCTACTGGTTTCCCCAGAACCAGTGATCATTCTTAAATGTGCATTAGATGTGTCATATCTTAAGGTAAAATCCTTACATGCCAAACCCCTTCGCATCACCCACAAGACCATCTAAGATCTGCCCCACTCTTAGGCTCCAGGCTCACCTCTGGTCAGTCCCCACTTCACATCCTGGCCACATTGAACTTGTTACCCTTTCCTAGACATGCTGAGATTTTTCATGGTGAGCTTCTCAACCTCAAATGCTTTTATTGATACCTATCTAGTTGGCCAGCTGAATCCATTTATCCTCCAATGCACATTTCTAAGATCAGCTCTTCTAGAGAGCCATCTCCAGCTTCACCCCAGACAAGAACGGTCTCTCTTTCCTCTGTGGTCTCAGATTACTTTCTACATGTCGCTATGGTAGCTCTTTTCATGTTGCACTGAAAATACTTGCTTACCCATATGCCTACTCTACCAAACCATAAGACTTTTAGGATTGGAATTTGTCTTACTCAATTTTAGTTTTAAAACTTCAAATAGCGACTGGCACCTAAAATGAAACCTTTTAAAAATTTAATCATATAGGTCATCCTCAATTCTTTTGAGGATTTCTGCCCTGACAACTCCCTTGAAACTGCTCCTAGCAATAAATTTTTCCTCTGATTAACAGCCAGTTTTTTTCTCAACGTATTTTTTGAAATCATTCTGTTTTAGTAATGTAATGCTTTCTCTTAGTTTAAAAGGTTAAGAGTAATAAAAAGTTATAACAAAAAATATCAGCCGGGCTTCCCTGGTGGCGCAGTGGTTGGGGGTCCGCCTGCCGATGCAGGGGACACGGGTTCATGCCCCGGTCTGGGAGGATCCCACATGCCGCGGAGCGGCTGGGCCCGTGAGCCATGGCCGCTGGGCCTACGCGTCCGGAGCCTGTGCTCAGCAACGGGAGAGGCCACAACAGTGAGAGGCCCGCGTACCAGAAAAAAAAAAAAAAAAAAAAACTATCAGCCCCTGTATTACAGTCGTCACCCACATCCCACCCCACTTCCCAGAGGCACTCACTTCTAAATAATAAGGACACTGCTCTACTTTGATCAAGGAATTTTAGAGAATACACTGACTTTCTTACCTGCTAAAATTACACACCACTTCCCCATGATTATGTTACTATTGTTCACTTTTTTTTTGCGGTACGCGGGCCTCTCACTGTTGTGGCCTCTCCCGTCGCAGAGCACAGGCTCCGGACGCGCAGGCTCAGCGGCCATGGCTCACGGGCCCAGCCGCTCCGCGGCATGTGGGATCCTCCCGGACCGGGGCACGAACCCACGTCCCCTGCATCGGCAGGCGGACTCTCAACCACTGCGCCACCAGGGAAGCCCCGTTGTTCACTTTTATGTCAAATAGTGCACATGATTACATGGCCTTTCTAGTACAACTTTTTGGTTTTTTCTGAAGTTAATATTTGCCTCAATTTTTTTTCAGTTGCTTATTTTTTTCTTGAGCAGCTGGTTAGATCTCATATCCTGCAACAGCTCTGAAAACTCCTCTTTTAATAATGTCAAATACTTTATCAATGCTATATTTTCCCCCTCAGCCGCCACTCCCAGAAGCATTCCTCTGGCAGTCCTCCATCCTCTGCTCTGATTTGGAATGTGGCCCTCTCAGCCCTATCCTACTCGAAATTTCCTGGTCATCTCTCTTGTGTGGGAACCCCTGGTTCCCAGGTCACATGTCCTATTGGTTTTTGGTTTACACTCTCAATTTTTGTAAATACATAGCCCAGTAGCTTCCCGAGAAAACATAAGTTTTTGAGAAATTTTATGTCTGGAAGTATTTTTATTCTCTATCCTCACTCTAGCCTTGGTGTGGTTGCTTTGTTAGCAAAGATGGCCACATCCCTTCCCACCCCTTTTCCCCCCACCATTTTGCAATATGACTTTGCCACTT